GCCTATTCAATTACAAACAACTCATTTGTTACTATATTTATGTGAAATAGTTTCCCCTATTATTCAACTTACCCCTTGACATGACTTTTTATACAAGTTATATTTCTATTGTTCCTATGTTACAGACATCTTGCAATATAATTGATCAAATTAGTTTGATCTCAAACTTTGTTTTTGACCAGAGACAATTTAAGTGGCACAGCTTCGCCAGCTCACACCTACGCATTGGTGCACTGTTTTGATAAGACACACTTTCCAACCATGACGTCTTTGACATTTTTTCTTTGGAAGCTAAGCTAGTTTGAACCTGCACAGTAGCCTACAGGACGAAACTTGAAAAATTTGAATATCGTGCAAAATTTCATTTATTTCAGTAATTCAACTTAAAAGGTGAAACGAATATATTATAGACTCATTACATGCAAAGTCCGATATTTCAAGCCTTTATTTGTTATAATTTTGATGATTATGGCTTACAGCTATGAAAACCTTTTCACAATATTCTAATTTTGAATTTGGGGTTTTCATAGCTGTAAGCCATAATCATCAAAATTATAACAAATAAAGGCTTGAAATATTTGCATGTATTGAGTCTATAATATATTAGTTTCACCTTTTAAGTTAAAATGAACTTAAATGAACTTTTGCACAATATTCAAATTTTTGGAGTTTCACCTGTACTGTGCAGGTTCAAACTTGCTTAGCTTCCAAAGAAAAAATGGTTGGAAAGTATAATTGTCTTTGTGATATTGCCAAGAGTTAAAGCAAAATTGAATCGTCAACCAAAATTGAAAATCCCATAATATAATTTACTCATCCTCGGGCCATCCTAGGTGTATGACTTTATTCATTCAGCCGAAACACAAAGGCGTGCCTGGAAAAACGAGCGCGCCGCTTCTATTATGACCGCGCATACATTTGAAATAACTAATTTGCACGCGCAAAAAACGCGCTATGTGAACGGCCCCTTATGGCAACGTGACATTAGCCTAATCCAAAATATTTCCATATGTGGCTCTTTCCTCCTTTCTTGTCAACGAGTGGATTCAGAGCCACCGCATTAGCAGCGCCGCCGGTCGCCATGTCTCAGTGGTTTTACGAAGAGGAAGCAACTGTGCATCTTTCGGACAGCGCATCAAGAATCGGATTAACCCGGTACTTCGGTACCACCGGTACTTAAGAAGAGCTGGTAAAGTAACGGAATCATTTTTTTAGTACCGACTTGGTACCGAAGTACCGGGTCTTTTGACAACACTAGTTCCTAGACTCTTAAACATGAGCCTATTTAAACTCAAACAGCGACTCTTTTTTTTTTTTTGGCTGGGCAGTGTATGTCACAATAGGGAAGAAAAGACTAGCTTCTGTTTCATGCTGACTTTAAACTCAGCTTTGAAATGTATTGAGAACCCCTAACTTTAGGGTAGAGGTTTGTTAAAATGCCTTACTAGTGATGCTTGTCCTAGCAATCACTACCAATAAAAGGAATTACAGACAGTGTATGTACACAGCATACAAATGGGAAAAACAGGACTTCACACACATTCATTATGGAATCTCTTAAATCCCACAGCTACATGCATCTTAATTAGAGTCAAGGTCCTTATTAATTATATCTTTGCGTTCAATTATTGCCCTCCAGTCATTACAGCTGTGTGATTACAGAAGGTTCATGCAGTCAGTGATGACAGGGTTCTGTAGCAAAGGCCTGCTATCAGTTTGTCGGTCCCTTTAAAACTCACCAAGCAGCCTCAGTGTCCATGCAGTAACCATCATAACAGTTCCAAACATTGCATCCAGTGTTCCATTAGTTGTGCACATTTATTTATAATGTTACTGTAAACTAAATGTTACTGTTTACTTCATAGTCATTGTCTGTCTAGTGGCAATATTTTTTTAGGTCTGACAAGCTTCATTTGACAAATGAGTGAACAAAACAAACTAAAGAAGTGACCATAACAAGAGACTTCATGGAATGGCTAACACTAAAATAATGATTATTTGTTTGTTTTTTTGCAGCCTAATGTTTATGATTCCCCAATCTTTTTGGTTTTTAGCTTTCACACATTTTTGCTATTGGATCATTTACATATCAGACAGCTTTTTACTCCACTCAAAGTATATGCATGCATATTTTTAAACCCTAAACTTGCATATAAATGATAAGAATTGGATTGATAACAGAAATTTATGACAATGACAGCAACTGTTCTATTTTCAAACATCACATTTTGGCACTGTTCCATGTTGTTCATGACTGTGTAATTTAATACTAACTTGGGTTCATAGATTTACATACACGCAGGTGCACATCAAGTACAGTGGTAGAAAGATCAATGATGTTAATGATTGAATTAATATGCTAGCATTATTAAAAAGCATTGTGTTTGACTGCAGCTGTAACAAAGGCATTAATATAAGCTTTATAGCAACCATGTCTTGGTTTATTGAACAGAAGCCTTCACTTCAACCTCGTGTTTGCATTCTCATCCTCTCTTTCTCTCTTCACTTCAGTCTGCAAGTATTTGCCAGTTAAATTAAATGGTAAAAATAGCTGTTGTGCTGGTCTCAAACACATCCCTTTGTTACCAGAAGCAGGTCAGGGATACACAGCTCTGACCTCCTCTCTTACCTTCTATTTTTTTAATCTCACCAAATACTTACACAAAAAATATATTTTTTATTTATTATTATGTATGAGAGATGGGACGTGAATCTTATGTCAGTCTTATGTACATTTTACCTGTTTGCATTATGAATTTAAAGAACCTATGAAATGACAAACGTTGTTTTCTCTCCTTAGTTGATGTATTTCCCAACAAAAACATTGATTTGGTCAATTTTTAGGAGTACACTATTATATGGATGAAGGTAACAGACATAGACCAAAAGCAACAACAAAATTTCATATAATAGTGTCTTTAAAAATCAACTAAATGCCCACATGAACGACTAAATTATTACAATGATTCTTGCATGAATACAGAAATGTAATGTTGGCACAAGGGAAAGTGCAGGCTGTTCTATCTCACTCTGTTCAATCTGCAAACATTAACAAGATGAGGTCCGATCTATGCTTTGTTTATTCAATCTTTATTTCTATTATATGTGTGTGTATGTGTTTGTATGTGTGTCCACAAAGTAAATGATCAACATTAACTGTTAACATATCGCTGCATCAGCAACGGTCCTGGCTGGACTATGCAATACAGCAATTATTTCAAATTGGTATCATGCCAATAATATACTTTAAAAAATGGCATGAGATGACGTAAAACAGATCAAGATTTAACGTTGGCAAGCTTTCGTATTCAGTTGATGATGCCAGAGTGATGAACTATTCGAAAATTAAGGAATGACTATGCCCGAGAAAAAACAAACAAACAAACAAACAAATTCAGTACAGTACTCAACATTAGAGACTGCAAAGATAAAGAGCCACGGAAGAGAGATGTCTCTCTAAGTGTGATAAAATATGCTAATCAATTCCATAAATTTAGAATTTGTTGGAGACCATGTGGAGGCAGGAAACATGGGAACAAGGCGTTATCTCCGCAGACAAGCCAAGCAGGCCATTTGTACAGAACTCATTGTGCTAAAACACACAGATGACAATTTCAGTGTATTAATTGTGGTGTAATGTTTAATATAACAGTCACTCCTGAGATCTATCTGAGCTGAGCGGCACAAAGCGGCGAGATCCTAACTGATCATCATAGAATTTAAACATTTAAAATTGAGCTTTTTTTTTTCTTTCTTTTTTTTACTATAATCAAAGTAGATTTTAAATGAATGATTTGCTGAAAATACACACTTTCATACAATAAATGGAGAAAATCCACAGCAGGATTTCCAGGTTTCCTTTTTTTTTTTTTTTTACAGATGTGTGCAGGGGGTGGGGTATCTTGATTCATTAATTACCTTGAAACTAATTGGCAAGTCCACATGTAATTGAATCATATTTGATTGGCCTAAATCATCTGTATCTTGCTTATTTAGTTTCACCTGTGGCAGACAAAGCAGTTCATTACATCGTAGTAGATGGTGTTTGTTGAGTGGCTGAAGTAAGTTTGTGTCATTTTAATGCTTTTTAGCTGATTTAAGTAAGAAATGTTCATGATTGTAAAATGTGTGACAACTAGCCCCAGTTTCCGCTACTATGTATTCACTGTGTTAGTAAGTAGCACTGTAATCTAGTAATTGTGGATGATGCATTTTTAACAGCCCATTAATGAACTGGGTAGGAGGTGAGGTGTTCAGGATAATGCTGCCAAATGCCATTATAATGGCAGTTCAGGCTTTGACATTCATGGCTTTGACATTCATGGCAAACACTGCCTGAATATTGTATTTTATTTCTGAATATTGACATAGGGATGTTGACACCAAGGGCTATACTAAATGACACCAAGTAAAGAGCAAAAGTTCAATTCAAACATGGTTTTCTCTAGCAGCAGTTTTGTATGTAATTGTGCAATAACTTTTGCAGCTAAAACTTTAAGGTATGTGCCTATACAGGAAAATACTCATTGGCATATAAGCAGTGACCACCAGATCTCATGAGAAAATGTAACTACTGCTTGACTTCGTAGTTCATATGTTGTGATTTGTACAAAAATAAGGGTCCACCCCTAAACCTAACCTTCAGATTGTATTGAAACGTATGGGTGAAATTGTTCGCATTTATAGGAATTGGCCAGAACATAAAATAATTGCGTACAAGTATGTGCTGGCTGTGACAACTAGCCGTGGTCTCCCCTCCCAGAGTTCAACAGCACCAACTGTCACTGGTAATCTCTTCAACCCACCACTATAAACCAAAAAAGCTTCTCAGTATTTCTTCCTTAAACACACGCAAATGAATTGAAAGAACCATGAACTCATGTTTGCAACACTGCTAGCATTAAAAAGTATCGCAGTTATCATGTAACAGAACATAAACAGTTGCAGACATTGAAAATGTAGAAGACTCAAATTTATCTAGGGGGGCAAAAGAGTCTTACCTTGACACTGGAAACCTTGCTTGCCGAAACCCCTGCAAAAGAGGTGAGACTGTGTGAGAAATTACAGCACAGAAAGCAAATCTGGACGCATTCCTCTGCGCGCAGCATCAAGACGCGCAGGCGCGCGCCATATTCCGCAAAATCGCCAAATCCATCTCTAAGGATGATGATGGTTTAATCATAGCGCGAGGAATTTCATTATCGTGATATACACTTTAACATGTATCCTTAATGAATAGAAGAGCTTAAATAAATGTGCTATGAATGACCCAAATGCGTAAAGATACAAATGCACTGACATATAGGCTAAATATCTCGTAGAGGTGCAGCATTGCGTTGGACTCGTTGCGCGAAGCGCTTGTCTTTTCCGTCGGCGTCTTTGTTCAGTGTTAACACCACTGCGGATGTCTGAGAGTGTTCAAACGCTTTAGTGTTTTTCCTCTCACGAGCATCAAGTGAGTCACCTGTGCCCTTCGCAGCCGTGTATGTACAACACCTCAACGTCCTCCAATACTCACCAGATAAAGTCGGTGCAGTGGCTGCAGAAGGTCGGTTGCTTGAAGAAGCGAGCGATGAACTTGTGGTTCTTCACTTCATGCACGTTCTTCTGCCTCAGCGCGCCCTGCCTGGCGAAGCCTCGCGCGGCCCCCTCGACCTCGACAGCCGCTGGGTCGGCCATGATGGGGACGGAATGGATGTAGTGGGTAGAAATCTCCTCGACTTGTAGCCTGCGCCGTTGAGGTTGAACGGGGTCTTTCTCGGCTTGCGCTTCGCTTCCCGGTTGGTCGGCACGCGCGCGCGCACACGCCTGCCTCTCCCCAGCTGACTGCTGTGTTGGTGGAGCGCGCGGGTAGCGGTGCTTCAGTGAGACTGTAACCACGCCCCCCTTCGTACGGCCGTTTTGAATGATAATTGCGGTTGAGAGAGAGACACATTTTGGTCGTGGATTCTGATTGACAAACCCGTTTAAAAAATCACTTCCAAGGAAACTGTCATTAATTGTTTGTTCGTGATCGAGCGCGAGACGCACAGCACACTTGCTTTGGCGCATTGCAAACATTTATCATGGCAACCGTAGCTTTCTGCGAATGTGCTTAAATAATATTAACATTAATATTTGTAACTACTGAATTGGAATTGTGGTGACACGAGGTTTCTGGAAAGCTTTGTACGCTCACTGAAGGAGTTCCCACAAATGAGCAATAAATGGTTCTATATTAAAATTGATATTATGTAGTAGCCTACTTTAGATAAAAATTGCTACATTGCCGTTTTTTTAAGTAAACAAATAATCTCCTTTATTATTGCGAAAAGGGCATTCCCAGAATTCCCTGCTCTAACGTGTGGACTTCTTATTTGTTTATCACTTATTACACTGGTGTGTTTTATACTATTTATATACTATATACTATTTATACTATTGTGTTAGTGTCATGTGTCGTGAAGTGTGGGTAAATATGCAATTGTGTTAAACTTTCAGTAAACTTGAAGTATTTTTCAGCTGCCAGTTCTTTACATTAAATTTTGATCCAGTGTAAAATAGAAACAACTATAGTATTTTGCAGAAACCTTTTAGCCTACAAAATGTTTTAAGCATTCATGTAGAGCAACCCTAAGGTCATGGGTTCGATTCCCAGCGAATGCATAAACTGATAACGTGTATACCTTTAACCTTATAAGCTTCTGCCAAATGCATAAATGTAGATGTGCTTTAAAAATCTACTGCTTATCCCACAACTGTGTAAATTAATGTCAAGTAAGAAGCACTGCAGTTGTTAAAATACCACTACTGGATTACAATGCAATTATTACCAGCACTAACACTAATAGAAAACATGGACACTTTAAATGTTGTGGATGAATTTAAATCAAAGACAAACTGTTGCTCTACTCCACCATTACCTTGCCCCCCAGTTTATTTTAATTTGAAATGGTATATGAGATATTTCATTCAAAACAGCAATAGAAATAAACAAATATACAACTAAGACATAAAACATAGGCTAACAACAAACATTACATATACAGTGTATGAGTGCACGTTAGTCACTTTTGCAATTATGTCTGTCAGATGTTGGCTAATAGACTTTCCCATATTGTGCAATCTTTGTAAGTTCAACAGAAATACATGTGAAAGTAATGTTACAACTCTGTCTGGCTAACCATGACATTCCAACTTTTCTTTTTTTTGGGGGGAAAAATGTATGTGAATGTTTTATCAAATTTAACATGAGAATCCCCTGCTAATTCAGAGGTCATATTAACGTTCATTAACACAATAATTCCAGCTAAACACAATTCCAGTTTTAGATAAAATGTGGAATATACTGATCAAGAACTCAAGAAACTTATATATTTTGGTGCCTCTGGGAGCTTTTCCCTCATGATGGGCTCACTGGAGGACAGTCTTTAAACTTCTTGCAGGAACTTAAGGATTCGATTGTGCGTGAAGCTTCAGCTTTAAGATTCTGAAGTCATGATGAAATCTTAGGAAACCTTATAAGTTATTCAATGATAGTCTGGTTTGAAATGGTTAAGTAATCTGATGAGCCCCAAAAGGCATCTATCTTTTTTTTTTAACTGTATTATGTTAGTGAGACAAGTTTTCTGAGAACTTCAGGCACTCAAACCAGTATAATCTGTTTAAAATAACACAAGCTTTGTGCCTGTTTATGCAAATCACCTCATCATATGTGCAGAAGGGGTGGTAACTCGTCTAGTTTCTAAGGAAGACTATTTTCATGCCTGAAAACATTTGTTCTTAATTTGTTTTTTAAACTGATGGCTTGGTTGTTTTTCAGGCCAAGTGTGTTTCGCTTTCCAGCAGCATTTGATGCAAACACTGGTTGAAGCCGTAAGATGAGGAGATTCAATATATTGATCGTGACAGACACAAAACAATCTGATCAGTCTCTTGATGCCGTTTTTTTACCGCAATACCTGGAGTGGATTAATTTTTGTTCCCCAAAGAACTTTTCAGAGAATAGTTCTGAGAACCATTTTTTCTTAGTTTGAAGAACATTTTAAAAATCTAAAGAACACTTTCCCACTATAAAGTACTTTTGTGGAATGGAAAGGTTCATGGATCCTTTAAGGTGGGCCCAAAATGCCAATAAAGAACCTATATTTTTAAGATTGTAGTGCATGGTCTATGATCTAAACCATTATGAGATAATAAGAGTAGTTCACCAGTATCCCCTTGAGTAAGACACTTAACCCCAGGGACCATCAATGGGACTGTCCATGCAATTATTGTTCAAGAGCAAAGCATAAAATGACTGAATGAGGAACAGTTGAGACCTCCCACTTGTTCTTTCATTGTTGCAACAAGTTCCCCTTTCCATTGACATTACATCTGCCATTTAGCAGATGCTACAACATAAGAGATTAATCCTTAAAAGGAGACAAAGTCCATCCAGAAGTTGACCCACAGATGTCTGCAAATGAATTAATGTATGGGTGACTGGGGCTTGTTGTCACACTGGGAAGTGTTTATAAATATAAAATGTACACAGTAAATTGATATAAGAAATCTTCACTCGAGTGAAAAGTGTGAAAATAAAAATGACAACCTGCCGTGGTGGAATTTGATTCTTCGCTGTGTCTTGATTCAGTTGCTGACCAATGAGCTTACTGTATCATATATGATTAATACACACAAAAGATTTCCTCAATGAGGCTTTTCTTCACATCATCCAACCTGACAGATGAGATCATTGTTAAATGCTATCTGATCCTGAGATCCTCTAGCCTGGTTAAAACCAGACCATTCTCTGTTGTAACCTGTCTATGGTTGTAACTGAGTTATGGTCTGGCAAAGCGTCATAGACAAATCATTTCCAGAGGGGCGTCACCAACGGACGTCGCGGATAGACCTAAAACCAATCAGAGCGATGAAGGAGATGACGTATGCAGAGCGGCGGAAAAACATCTCCGAGTGTTGTTCTTTGCTCGGTTTTTAACTAAAAGGAAACGTTGAAATCGCTTAAAACAGACGCGATAGCTGATTCGAACGAGTGATGTCCGACGGCGGCATCCATCTTTGTAATGTAGGCTACAAAATCTGCTTCAAAATCGCAGCGCCGTCGTCATCGTGTAAAGCCCGCCCCAACGTTTCTGATTGGTGCCGCGATTTCGACGGATTGGAAATGGGCTTGAATGAGCTCTTTGCCAGACTAACTTTCAGAGCAAATCTAAATTTGCCGGAAGTTGTCTGGGTTTTCCCAGGCTAGAGATCCTCTGATTTTGATGGCAAATCTGTAAAGACTCATAAGCAAATACTTCTGGAGCCAAGTAATAAAACTATGTTCACTAATATCTCGCTGATGAACCCACCAAGGGTCAACGGTGAGTTTAATGATAAGGACACCGACTGCGATTACATTATTTAAACATGCAATATTTAGTCAAAGGTTAAAGTTCTTTGACAACACTAATATGACCTTCCCTCACCAATGACCAAAACCTTTTTCTTTGAATCACTTGAATTGGCAACAAAAGCATTTGATACAGTCATCCGCCATCTGCTGAGCTCCACACTGGTACACGATGGAGATCTTGTGATTTACACTTCCAAATCATTGCACAAATTTACTTTGGTTTGGGTTTCATTCTGAGAACATGCAGATTTTATTGTGAGAACATTAGAGAAATAGTGAAATAACAGGTGAAACAAACACGATCTAGTCTTTACCACCTCAACAGGATTTTCACTGATCAGATACAGTACAGTATAGTAGAGTTCACAGATAGCAATTGGTTCCTTCAAATTTTAATATCTTAAATGACACATCTTAAAACATCCAACAGGTGGCGACAAAAGCTGTGAAATAGTATGTAAGCTGTCATTTTTAATAGTAAATCATGAGACTTCCTGAAAAGGAGATCTGAAAAACAGATTGTTTAATATAAGAAATCTAAATAAAAAAAAGCAAAAATGTACCATTAAAAGCAATGACTGGACCGTTTAAATACTGCTTGATTTCAGAACTCTTTAAGGCATGTTACTTGAATTAACATTTTTTAAAAATAATACATACAGAAATATCTTAAAGGAACTACTAATAAGAAATGTTTTATCCACAACCTACACTCATTTGATAGAATGTTATTTAGCATCTTTAAATATAAATGATTTATCAATATACCGGTAAATAATTTATTTGAAAATGTCATATTTACATCCCGATTTCCAGAAAAGTTTTTGTAAAATGCCATAAAATCATTAATTCTCTTGATCCTTTATTTAACTGACAAAGGTACAAATGTTTTCACTGACCAACAAATTTTGATTTTGATGGTTCCAACACTCCAAAAAGTAAAATAAAAGTGAAAAGATTATAGAATATCCCAGTTAAACAGTTTTGAAACAGTCCACTATAAGCAAGTGAATGGGTAATGGTAAGGGTGTCGTGTTTGGAGCATCTACCGAAGACTCAGTCTTGGCAAGCAATTGGTCATGGCTCATTACTTTGTGTTAAATTCCATGAGAGAATTGTCAAACTATTCAAAAATCATATTTCTCAATGCAAGATTGCAAAGTATTTAGTTTTTTTTTTACCATATACCGTGCATAATATTGTGAAAAGATTCAAAGAATCTAGAGAAATCTCAGGCTATGTAGGGCAAAGCAGGAGATCTCTGTTAAGTGCGTGACCTTTGAGACCTCAGATGGTATTACCTGAGAAACTCTGCTTATGAGAAACTCTGCTTATTACATGAGAAACTCTGTCATGCTACTCTGTTAAATATAGCCAAATGCTCATCTCAGATGGTCATCCGTGCTGTGGTCAGTTGAGTTCATGTTTCAGCTTGTTTTTGGGAAAAACGGACTTTGAGTTCTCAGTCCCAAAGACGAAAGTGACCATCCAAATTTTCATCAGTGACAGTTGCAAAAGCAAACATCTGTCATGGTATGGGGGCGCATCAGTGGAAACAGCATGGGTGACTTGCATATGTACCATTGATGTGGAGGTGTGTATTGTCATCTTAATGGCAGTACAAGTCTCTAATATCCCATCTTTCCTGGGAAGAAAGACAATGCCAGGTCTCATTCTGCACGTGCTACATCAGAGTGGTTTCTAGACACTACACTGTAGAAGGGATGCGCTTGACTGCCTGCCTGTAGTCCAGATCTGTCTCCTATGACCACAGATAGTTGGGCATCTCTCATATCAAAGCTCTCTTGTATTAAAAATTCCATTTTGCAAAACTCTAACAATTAGTATCCTCAATTCCCAAACTATTAAAAAGTGTAATTAAAAGAAAAGGTGATGTGACGCAGTGGTAAACATGCCTCTGTCTCAATTCATTTAGAGTGTGTTGCAGCCTCAAAGTGTTCACATTTACAGAATACAATTAAATTGGTCAGTGAAAACATTGGCAATCTTTCTCAGTTAAATAAAAGTTAGAGAATTAAGAAATCATAGATTATTGATTTGAATAAAAGGAAATCATCAGAGGAAAAAAGGTTCAGTATTTCATTTTATAACAGAGCAAAGACTCACTGTCACATACATTAGCGTATGACTCAATCTAAAATGATTTACTTAAGTAACAGAAAATTGCTGAACTGATAATGGCTGAAATGATTCTGGAGATAAAAAGTTAGTCATTACAGTAAATTAAATAACATTTAGATAACAGCCCATTATCAAAGCTCACATTACACAAACACATTCAACTGATAACACATGGCCTGGAATAAAAGATTATATAATAAAATAAATGAAAGATTTCTTGTGCCAACTATTAAAATTGTTTCTCAAACTTCAGTGTTTGCTCTTGATCACGTCATGTGAAATAGTCTGTCAAGTAACAATGTATGAAGTAAAAGCAGGAGTGTCTGCACTTATTTTATCCAAACAACCCCCTAAAGCCTTAGCTGAGAGTCATTGCATGTTGTCGCTTTGTAAATTCTACATTTTAAAGCATTTAGCAGATGCTCTTTTAAATGCTGTCATTTGAATGAATGTGACCTTTTAAACTTCCCAAATGTTATATTACATTATACATCAGTTCTATGTTTAGTTTCTAATTCGAATTTCTACTTAACTTCTCATTTTCATTAAAATTTTGTAAATGTCATTTTTTCCATCTAATATTTATATTTTATTTCAGCTTCATTTCAATGAATCATTTCAGTTAGAATAACAACAATGTATACAGTAGGCCTGCAAATAAAAATAAATCTGAAAATGCAGAGACATTACGTATTGGTAACCAGTTGTATTGGTCATTGGACCAGTTTTGAGCTGGTTGTATTTGTCACACACACCTGGCAAGCCTTCATGAGGCGTCAACATTCATCTCTCTGAAGGGCGGCTCTCAGATTGCTCCAGAACTCGCCTCTCTTTTCCTCATCCTCGGGCCACTCCAGATACGTCCTGGAGTTCATAATCTTCCGTAGCTTGCAGAAGCGATTGGGGATGGTCTCCTTCTTGATTGGCTCTAGAAGTACTAGGACAGCGGAGTCATTGTGCTCATCGACTATGCGGAAATGTGAGAAGTCCAGTTCGTAACGACACCATTCGCTGGTAACAAAGTGCTCAGACAGAACAAAGAGAGTCCGATGGCTCTTCTCAATCGAGTCGATGATGTTGTCCATGATCCAGCGGCCCGGCCGGAAGTCCCGCTTGTGCAAACACAGGGCGAACGAAGGCTGAGCACTCTCCAGCTCTGGAACGAGGATCTCCTCGACCCACTCGGCGTCATGTTGACTGTAGGATACAAAAGCGTCATAGCGGATCTCTCCGGCCAGTCGACCAACTGCAGGTTTTCGTTTGGCTTGTATCCATGCTTTAGTCATCTGCAGGTACCATACAACGTGAAGCTTATGGCAGGTGACAACAATAAGTCCAAGCACTATGATAATCACAGAACAAAGCACTGAGACAGCAGGGATCATATAACACTCGAAGACCGACAATCTGACACTTTCAATAGCATAACCTCTGAGAGTGAATGGAGTGTCGCACACATAATTGCAACGACCATCTCGAAGTGTAACGAAATGGTCAACATCTTGTTTGAAGAAAGATACAAACTCGCAGGAGCACACAAAATTGTTGTTACCCGCCTCCAAGTATTGCAGGTTTTGAAACCTCCTCAAAGAGCTCCCGTTGAACATGCGCAAGGCGTTCCTTTGGATAAGCAGCGTATGGAGCCTCGGAAGTAATTCCCCCTGTGGTAGTTTCATAAATCGGTTGCCTGTCAATATAAGTGTAGTAAGTTGAGGAAATCTTTGGTTGAAAACCATCAGATCATTTTCGCTGAGATCCAGAACCGTCAAGGTAGAAGGCAGGCAAGCAGTCATCGTACGTAGCTTTGTGCTGGAAAGGTTCAGAAACCTGAGAGTCGATGGCCAGCTACACTTTTCTGGCATAGAAACAAAACTATTATGACTTAAGTCTAAAAATATGAGCCTCTTAAGATTAGTTACCAACCGAGACATCAGCCCAAGAGATTTTAACACGTTCTGGCTCACATTTAGGGTGTTGAGGTTTTGATATGCGCCAAAACCTGTAAATAAGGTCGGTTCGATTGTCAGGTCTGACAGGAGATTTTGACTAAGGTCCAAGTATTCAAGATTTTTCAACAAAAAAGTAGTTTCCCGAGGAATGACAAACACTGTGCTGTTGATCACAGACACCTTATGGAGATGCACCAGGAGAAATCCCAACTGGGTCATGCTACTAAACACAAAGAACCCTCGGATGTCAAGATTACATATGTAGGCAGTATGTAAGTTTTCATAATGTGTGTACGAAGCATTCTGCCACCACCCTTCACCAACTAAATGTACATCTTTTAAACCTAAATAAGACAAAGGAGAACCATCCATGACCTGCAAAAAAAAGGTGATCGCTTCATCGCTTGTGCTGCTATTTTGGAAACTCAAGCTTTTAGTCCCACCTTCTCTCACCGCTTTGAAGGGTTCTGTCGAAGTGCTCGTACTGAGTGTGACATCTTTGATAGTCAGAAGAGTTTCAGGGTGAGAGACATCTTGAAGAACCTTAGAGACAAGTTCTGGATCGTTCTGAAAGAGATTCTGAAGGCTCAAAGAGACTAAACCGATGGGACGGGCTGCTTTCAAGCCCCCGCTTTCATACGATCTCAGGTTACTGCCAATAAATGTAATCTCTTCCAGATGAGTGAGCCCTTCTAAGCCATTCTTGTGTACCTTCCTCAGCGATGGACTGCCAATTTGCAGCGTCCTCAAGTTAATGAGAGAATGGAAGATGGAAGCAGGTCCCAAGGTGGAGTATGGGTTTCCTACAAGGTTCAATTGCTGAAGAGATTGTAGCTCATGGAACCAAGACGAAAACAGTTTTTTCAGGTTGTTTAAGGACAGATCGAGAACTTTCAGATTACGTTGAGATTTGAACGCCTCCTTGTGTATAAACTTGAGCTTGTTCTTATGCAAGTTTAGGGTTTTCAGCGCAATATAAGGGCTGAGATCATTGATGTCAATAGACACAATTTGATTGAAAGACAGGTCAAGGCCAAGAGCATTCGCTGGAACCTTTGGGACCTGTTGGAGTTGATTTGAGGAGCAATTGCAAAAATATTTCTGATCACATTTACATGTCCTGGAGTACTCAAAGCCTTGAGCCAAAATCAACATAAAAAGAATCATGGACTCCTTCGCACCCAAGAGTCTCATCCTGTAAAAAAAAAAAGAAGAAAAAAAAAGATATACTTTTATTCAGTAAGGATGCATTAAATTGATCAAAAGTGATAGTGAAGACTTTTACATCACTTTTCCAACATTCTATTTCAAAGAAATGCTGTACTTTTGAACTTTATTATCATCAAAGAATCCTGAAAAAGACGTATAATTCAGCGAACACAAGAACAGAAAACAGAAGTTCTTCATTTCCAAAATAGTCATTCAATCAATGCACTCTCTTTATATCTAACATCTATAATCGCAAGCTGATGTTTGCAGTCAAATATTAAAGTGCTTTCAGTTCTGCATATTCTAAGACAGAATTTTTTTTAATATGATTACCTGACTGCTATTATTGTGTCTGCTCCTCTTTTGTACGCAAACTGCAGTTTGGCAGTAGTCATAATAAAGTAAAACAAACAGAGTTCAAACATGCAAACATAGTGTGAGTCACAGGAGGTAGTGAAACTGAATAGCCTGATTGAAACGTACAAAATCATGTCTCTTTTTTCAGCAGCATTATTTTAGGGAACCATCCCTATACAGACCAGTCTCAGAGCATGTGTACATATATATATACACGCTGCACATGTACTGTAGGTGTAGTTGGGTGATAATTTTTTTAGACCGTCTCAGAATGTCTTACACAGCTTTTATTCAAATAGTTTTTTGTAAAACTATGTTTTTTTTTTATGTTCGCTTCACTAAACACTGCATTAGAATTAAGGATGCGAAAAGAGGAAGTTAGCCTTTTCGTGTAAGGTATGAATTTAACTTTACCACTATAAAGCATCACTTCACATCTCTTGTGGTTATTGCAGGACACATGTGCTCCACATAACATATTTAAATAATTCAAGACAGTTTGCTGTTGTACACTCATGTGCAATAAAAATGGACCAAGCCAAAAATGGCAAAATATTTAGTGATCTTTTAATGAGTCAGTTTTGTTCCACTCAAAATTAATGGCTTCAGACAGTTCATGAGTAGTTGAGAAATGTCTCCCATGTTTAATGTGAGACTAAATATTCACTATAGGGTTCAAATCTGGACTCTGACCAGGCCAAAACATGAGCCTGATGGACTTGTTCTCAAGCCATGTCTTGGTTGTCTTTGCAGTTTGGGCTGGAGAATTGTCTTGTAGAAAAATAACATCTGATTATTTCTCTTCAGATAACAACTTTTCATTTGTGGGAAGCAAGCCATTCTGCAATATTCTCCTATTCTCCAAAGCATTAAATGACTTTTCACAGTGAAGTAGTTCACCAATACCAGCAGCGTAAAAGGCTTCCCACACAATGACGCCCCTTCCTTCATGCTTCCCCCTTTTGAAAAAGAAGTTTATTCAAGTGTGCTATTAGTATACTTCTTTTAAACTAATAGTAGACTTTCATGAAAAGGAAACGACAGTGAAGCTTTGGGAGAGTTGATAGACTCGATCTATACTCTGTGTTTTGATCATTGTTCTGAATCCCATCCGGACGTAGCTAGTCTTTGACAAAAAATGCGATTTTCTCCTGCTTTTTGTTTAAAATGTTGCTTTTTTTTTTAACTTACCCACATTCAAGTGTTAATAAAAAAGGATGCACATACTAGAATAAAATGGAAAGAGTTAAAGTACAGTTAAAGGTATTTCAAGTATAAAAAATTAATACCTAAATAGGAACATATAGTGGTACTGTGTACAAACATGATATATAAATAGTAAACTAAGTATGATGTTATGTTCACTTAAAGAAAACTCACAAGTTTATACTTGCAGTATAAAACTACTAAACTAGTAATTTACTGAGAGATAAAGTGTACTTTCATAAACTAAAAAAACTTTTAAGTTCACTTATACAGATGCAGTAATATATAATTGAGAAATGTAGTTGTGAACTAGTTGTGCACTTAACTACTACTAAAGGTTTACTGTTAGTAAAAATGTAACACTTAAACATAACCATTTCTAAAAAGTGGGCCAATTTAGTCCCAAGCAGTATTGAAATAGTTCACTTACATGTTTACTACTAGTACATTGATATTAGTATACTTCAAGTTTAACATATAAAATATACTTGAACTACTTACTTAATAAAATAAACTTGAAGTAGCCTATACTGTATTCTTTTTTTATAAGGCTCACTGTGGTAGAGATGCTTTTATTATTTTATTTCTCAACAGATTTCTCCATTTTCAAAGACCCCGCTCTGGAGCATCACCATGCAACTCGTGTTTCAGTGTGATTCCTCACTTCACACACAACTTCCCATATTCTGTAGACATAGACAGTAATGGCTTTTTAGCGCATCTCCTCACATTTTGTTTTTTAATTTCCTGACCAATAATTTGTGGTTAAGATAAATAAAAACGTACTGTTTAGCGATTTTGGGCTTGACCCTTTCTTTTGTATACAGTATGTGTATATTATATTTTACAATATAAAATACATTTATTTTTATATTTTCTAGTAAAATAATAGTAATAGAAGAGTCCTGTGGTGAAATCCTGGGATCATCATGCTTATAATATTACACATTTAAATAAAAAAATTCAATATCACAATGTGACTTCTTTGTATCTGCTCTTGCAGGATATTAAATGTCAAAAAGCCTTCTCTTTTTGACCTTTTTGTTCCTCTGGTAAAAGACAATCTAAAATTTCAAGAGGACTCCTCCCTTGTGTCACTGTAAGTGACAGGTGAAAAGAGGCATAAGCCTATATCAGACATAAATAACTGCCTCAATTCACTTGGGAAACATGAAGGCTACTTTTCTATTTCTGCTTCAGTTGATTTGAACTGTTGGCAACACAACAACCTTTCTGTATTGTTTAAATGTATTTTATATATACAGTACACTGGCAAAATGAATGCGTCACGTTTAGTGTAAACATGCAGACTCCTATAACATGAGTCAAAAAGAGAATTGCATGCAGAGGGCATAACTAAGTTATTTTCCCATAAGTACTGAATCACAGCTCTCTTGGATAGATAAAACAGAAGAAAGCAGAACAATTATTTTGTTATACGTATAACTTTTGGACCTGTTTTACACTAATGGGTCAGAAAGGAAACCTGGCAAGCAGTTTATGATAAAAGGTGTGCATGAAATCATGATAATCTGGTCTCTAGAAATGTATTTTCTTCTAAGTAAATCTATGGGATTTTATCTGCTACCCTAAAACCGAAAAAGTCTGATTACTTAGAAAAGTACATCTCGCGTACATCATGGAAAAGTACATCATGACGGTAGCCTAGCCATTTACTTCCTTATGGAAAAAAGAGGCCTATTATGGAAGTCAGCATGCCATCAACTGTCTGGTTACCAGCATTCTTTAAAATATCTTTTGCGTTCAACAGAAGAAAGACATTAATACAGGTTTGGAACAACATGACGGTGAACAAGTGATGACAAAATTTTCATTTTTGGGGGAACTGTCCCTTTAACTATGGGATAATGATGTCAATTACCACCACAGTAGGCTATTGCAGGCTATTCTGGATCTGGCAAATGGGACAGTAATTGAGGTTAAAATAAATAATTAATTGTGTCCTTGAGGAAGACATTTGTACCAGAGAAAACTGCGTTAACATTATGTCAGGAGTCACATTTGAGGAAGTTAAATAAAAGCAGTTAAAAAGATTCCTTATGGATTACCACATTGGCTCGATAACTTCCTCTGACATCGGTTAGCACCATGGGTTAGCACAAGTTTACACGGTTGACCCATGGGTTGACCATAAATTCAAACGCGGGCGCTTTAACTAGTTTGCGTAACCACATCTAAGTCCCGCCTCCAGATCTGCAGCTATTGGCTCAAAGTCTACGTTAGGGGAGTTTTAATTGGATGCCTAAGATGCCATTTAAAAGGTCCGGAACTAAATGCAGCTGTAAACAACCGAAGCGTGCCCTTGTAGATACCATACAGTTGAGGTTTATATACATTTCAAGAGTACACGTTTTAGAATATATATATATTTTTGTGCTACAGTCATGCCGACTTCCCCCGTGAAGACACGGATTCCGCTGACAAGTTTTGGTCATCTTATAAGCGAAGTGAAGGTAACGTTAGACAAAAAAAAAGAATTCATTGTTCAACATATCGCAGCCATGCATGCTGTCATATAAAATAAATAAAATATAAAGTATAAATAAATATAAAGATATGAAACATAACCCTTTGTCCTTAATAAAAACATGAGAAAGTGTCTCTACCTTTATATCATCAAGAGTTGCTTACAAATAGGCCGCTACATGTAGGCTAATACACTATATACAGTATAATGAAAATGCCATATATTATGCTTATTCAGTACCATGGTATACATAAAAGTATGATATTACCACCTACCTATTAATGTTTTTTTTTGTTTTGTTTGATGTACAAAGTGAGAAGAGAACAGAAAAGCGTAGCCCGCGTGGGGATCTCTTTTTAAAAAAATGTTTTGGACATGGTGTCAAATCTTGATATTTTGTAGTGTGTATTTTTATTAACAGAGACAGCTCTTCGGGATTGAAGCACCATCCCCAACAGAACTGACTGGATGGAGGAAACATTTTAACAGCTACACAATACAAGGACGCAGAAATGTAAGATCATGTTTACTCATTACTGAAGAATTACAGACAGTATATGCCTTGTCAGTAAGAGCAAGTCAGATTGTTGATTGTTCAAAGACAACAGTAACATCAGTAACATCTCCTGCTCGCGTCACCACTTTCTAATTGTGTCATTTTTTTTCTCCCACTTATTCCCTTTTCCAGTTTGTTCTTGCCACATATGGTGTTCTTGCACTCACAGCTGCTGCCTACATGCTGAGACGCAGCAGCAGGAAGGAGGAACATGAAACAGCATCTGCCTCCTCATAAACTAAAATGGAAAGTTTGGGGGGTTAAAAATACAATAAAATATTTATGATCACTATATGCGTGGACTGTGGTTAATGAAGTTTGTTTCTCTACATGTCACCGGCCAGATGTTTTCTTTATCACACATACAGATTGTCGTTTTAAAGAATGATTAAAGTCGCAGTTGTTTTAACCCATTAGTCATTTGCCAGTAGAGTTCAGTGTAAGCTTATTGTCTTTAAGTTTAAGTACATTTCTTAGAAGCGCTTTGCTTTATCTGTTCTAAAGGCAAATTGGGTGGTTATTTTACAGCTGTTGATTTTAGGTTAGTGAAACTAGGAGTGCAGATGGGGGACGTTTTCCTGTAAAATGAAATGTTCAGAAATTATTTCAGAAATAACAGTGCTTTTGTAATATATCTTTTTTCTGCTTTTTGTTTCATTTCAGTTCATCATGGTCGGGCATCATTCTGAAAGTGAAGCTTCATTTAAATCCTATTTTAGCCTACAATATTATATTATTATGCCAATCAACTCATGACTGAAAAACTACCCCTTTCCTTTAACTATCCAAATTTCTGCCTTATGATTTTTTTTTAAAACTCTTTTAGACAGGGTATACTATACAATTTGCATCCAGTAATTTTCAAATAGTTACACATGATTGTGATAGAGTTAATGTGCTAAAGTGAAACTAAAATGAAAGCACACCTGAATAAGGGCTATTGGGGGGGGGGGGGTAACCAGCCGTACTAATTTCTCTGTAGGTGAATGTGCAGGTGCTGTGTACATCAGGCAGTTGATGTCAGTGGCATAAGAGTGATTTTTTTGGGGGGATTTTTTTTTACATTTGGGGCCTATTTCAAAGGAAAAACTGCTTCAAGTGGAAATTTATGTTTGGACTCATCTGCAGTACAGTGCAAGGTACCATTATAATTTTTAATTTGCAAACAAAACATGAAAAATATATAAATGAAAATATAATGATTAATGCTTAATTATGTTTTAAGCAAACATAATTGTTAAAGATTTAAATACTGGGAATGGATTTGGGAGTGTTTTCTGATGTTTCTGATGCCCTGAACCTAATGTATGATGAATTATTCCATGTATCTCTTAAATTCTGTCTTGCCTGTCAGGGATATATTTAACGGATGCTTTGAGAGATGATCTGATTAAAGAGTCAGAAGTAATCTTAAAGACATCTACAGAGTACAGCATCTATTTACAGTCAAAAAAAGTGTATGTATGTATCCATTTACCAGTGAATGCTGCTGTTTATTGTGCAATATTTGTCTGGCACATGAAAAAACAAATTGGACAGTTTAACATTGTTTACGTTTTACTTCACAATTAAATTAGTATTTATATTTTTCTGTTAGAGCAATGGTCTTAAAAAATCTAAATCTTAGTATAAGATGCTATTGACTTGCATATGCACTAAAGGATGATCGATGTTGTTTTAGTTTATTTAATTTCTGCAGAGTCTATGGAAAAATAACATTGCATTTTTCTTAAATGTGTGGCTCATATTTATCTGTCATATGTAATCCACGCTGTCTTTATGGTTACAGTCTTAAACAATAAAAGTAAGCCAGGGATAAAACATGATAGTTTTAACCCTTAACCTGCCAAAAGGCGATGTGAGTTGGAGAAGATCACGTGATTTAAAGTAAACCAGAGCGCCGAAGTGAAAGTGAAACAAAAGTGCACACTTAATTGCAGGCAAAATAAATAATTATCGAGTATAGACTCATTTCAGTCATTGATTATACTACAGTTGTTTGCTTATATCAGGCTTTTTATCTGCATTATCTGCTTAAATCGCCACGATCTTGGCCATTTTGAAGGCATTGAAAGAGAGTGCTGCCAAAATCCAACCGCATTCCTACATCTAGGCTTTCTCTTGGCACATTACCCACTGAGTGCAGAGAATGATGTAAATAAGATACGTTTGGATACATACATCCAAACAGTCCTAGGAAGAAACGTCTCATACCAGTCAATGATGTGCCACAGGCGAGACCGCCTTTTATATTTTATGTGCAAACTTTCGCTTTCGATATTCTTTTGTAATGGTCAGCCTAACAATCGCGTAACAACTAAAAATGTAGCATCGCAGGAAATCTTTACACAGTTCTGGAGAAGTCTGGGTTAGTCAACATCAAACTGCATTTGCGGTAAGTTGGCTAGTGGTTTTATATCCGAGACCGGACTGCATGGAGGTGTTTCTTTCACCTTTAATTTCACAGTGACGTTCTCCATGTATTAGACACCGTTTTGTGAAAACATTTTCAGTAGAAATGTAACTTAATGGTTATTCTGGAACACGTATGCCTACGTGACAGATAATCGAAAATGCGAAAAGTTTTGCCTGTTTTACTGGAGAAACGTTTACATTTCATTTCGAAGTTCTTTCCAGAAAACATATAGCCTACTTGTATTTCAGAGAAGACAGGGGGATTAACTTTTCCTCTGCTAACGGTTACTACAACCTACCGTTTGTCTATAAAGAGGCTATCAAGACATTCAAGGATTATGTAGCCGACCAAAGAAAACATAGAAAAGACTTATGATTTTTAAAATATGCTTAAAAAATTACATTTATTGATACAAATACATTTTTAAAAAATGTGTAAAAAGTTTGATGTGAATATTGTTTTGCTATTATATTAGGTAAGGGGAAATATAAATAAAGCAAAGTTTTCGAGAAATAGTTTAAAATCTAGCTATAGTTAGGCCTATTCTAAATGACATTGTTGTAGACTATTCATGTTGGTTTCATACATTTTTCTTAAAATGTTTGCAGCCTACCATTTTCTACTGGTTTTTCTACCATTTTCTACATTTTTACAAATGTGGTGTCACCAGTAACCATCAAGTAAAAAGTACCAAAATGCTTTCACTTTGGGTACAGTAACATAGTCATCGGTGTATAAAATAGGTTAATTACAAGGCTAATTAAAAAATTATATCAAAACGGTTTCTAAGGGTTACCCCATTTGACCTGAACAAAATGTGCCTTTAAAAAAAACTACTCAAAAAGTTATTTGACACACAGTCATGAGAGGTCTTTTCTGTTTTATGGTATTTTTTATCACAACAATCAATTGGCATCTAGTAGGCTATGTTGGTTACGCAGCGCTGACTTTGATTTGGCTCACAAAACAAAAGTATAGCCTATAAAGAAATATATTTTTAAAACAAAAATTCCTTTAGGCCTATATATATATTTTTTCGTCTCAAGCATCATAGTCAAATTATTTTTGGTTTCTGTTTCCAAGATTTTTACTTAACTACTGCTCGGCAGTCAAAAATGACAGTGAAAAAAAGTACTAGGCTATATTTCTAGGGTATTTTTATGGTACTAAATTATATTTATGTAATAATTATGATCCATTTATTACCTGTTAATAATTTTTTTTTAGCATAGACCTGAAAATTAAATTTTCCAACTTTTCCAACTGTAAATCTTGAATTCTTAAGTTTGGTTAGTTTTAAAAGAAGACTTGGCAGATTATTGTTTAAGTGATTTAAAAAAAAATAATATTCAAGTTTAAGTTTATTATTATGAAAAATGCATAAAATACTATTTTTAAATTTTATATGAAATATATATTTTTCAAAAAATGAATAAACAAGTTGTGTTCCAAATTTGAGGTTGATATCTCAAAATAGCTTTCAGTAAGATTTGGGCGCAAACGTTTCCACAAGATGAAATTCGCTTCCCATTAGTTTACAAGTGTGAATGTTTTTTTTCAGGACAATTTAAGCTATTCGAATCATGTCCATATTTTTTTTTTGTGTGTTCATATAGGACGTGCCAAATCTTTTCCCAAGTTTTGTACCATTTTGGTGAAGTAAAAAATTCTAAAAAAACGAAACGTAAAATTTCGAAAAGGGTTAAAGCCAATCTTTGGTTAAAGCTGAGCTTAAAATCCACTCTCACATGTATACTTACACACTTTCTTGCACACTCACAGACTTATCTTGAATGTGTCCGGACATGAGCTCTTCCCACTTCTTGATGTTTGAACTCTTTGTTCATTTGCGCAGGCTGCAGAATCATTCATCTATGCTTTGGGACCATGGAGGAATGGTATGAGTGGGCCCCGATTCAGAATGGTCCAGCATAATGACTCTGAACATACAGTTGCGCCACAGGGCCCACCCAAGCCGGCCGAGCCCCCTAAACCCTGTTCCGACCCCCCGACACACTTTCAGCCCTTTCGGGACCAGCAGGAATGTGACCTCATCACCCAGGCTGTGGATTACTTGAAACAAAGTGGATTTTACTGGGGTCCCATGGAAGCAGATGAAGCTCATGCACAACTGGCCAAACTCCCTCTGGGGATGTTCCTGATCCGGGACAGCATGCAGGCAAATGTTTTCTTCACTCTCAGCTATCGGGCTCCCGAGGGCCCGACCAGCGTGCGGGTGCTCCTAAAAGGAGGAGGATTCAGTTTAGCAGGGAGTAAACATACTTTCTCTTGCCTTTTCCAGCTGCTTGGATACTATATTGCGTCCCCAAAAAAGAGTCTGACTATGCCGTATCGTGGAGATGCGGCGCAGAGCCTACAAGAGCTGGCAAGAAGAGCTGTGGTCCAGAGTTATGGGAAAGATAGTATTCACCAGCTGCCTGTGAGCAAGAAACTTAAAGAATTTCTGTGGTTGTACCCTTTTAGTATATGAATGTGTGTTGTTTATTTGAAGTTGAAGTTACAGATGTTGCAGCTATTTTAACATAGCACCATTTATTTGATCATTTCATAGGATACTGTGCTCTTCATTGACCCAACTAGAACATGTATTTACTATTTATGTGTGTAGTGATCGTTTAGACTATTCTCTGGTAATAAAAGCACTACAAAATGTTTTATTTGACATATCAGCACAACTCCACCTTTGGCCTTCGATTGTTTTAAAACAATCACTCTGGTACTGGGTCAGTTTGTATTTGTGTTAAATTAACGATTTGACAACGTAGTTACTTTTAAATAGTATTGTTTGTCTTTAAATGTAAACCACTGACCATGGGCACTGGTGATGTCAATATCAGTATGAATATTTAAAGATTTTATATGGGTACATATATACAATATGTGGACTATATAATCTATAGTATGTCAATGTCATTCTGCTATGCAGAAAAATGCATTTCACCTAATGAAACTTAAAGGTTTTTTTTGTTTGTTTAGGATTGCGTTTTATTAATAAAGATAAATTATTTGAAGCGATTTACAGCTGTTTTTGCTCTCTCTCTCTCTCTCTCTCTCTCTCTCTCTCTCTCTCTCTCTCTCTCTCTCTCTCTCTCTCTCTCTCTCTCTCTCTCTCTCTCTCTCTCTCTCTCTCTCTCTCTCTCACTTTGGCTAGTTTCTTGTAACTTACTCAACCTAACCCCCATAAAAAGAATCAGGAACCTCTCGCATATTAACTTTACAGAAATGGCCCCATCTAGAGGGTTTTTCTTTTTATAACTACACATTTTTACTCTCTTTATCTCATAATTTTACAAGTTTACTAAATGATTTGTTTAAAAATAACATTATCCGATTTTATATATTAAATTCACCAATTACTGCATGTCATCATGTAAATGTGCTTGTAAGCTCGAGCAAAACTGTGTTCATGTTGTGTTTTTGTGTGTATGGCCACAGCAGAAGCGGTGGAGCAGATGTGGGATCATAGATTAAAACCACAAACCATACACAGCCATACACAGAAATCACATCCTCTTATACAAAAACAGGAAAACGGTATTCGTATGACAATTCCATGGCAGAATAAAACAGAAAGAGATATTTTGTTCCAGTGAAAGATCGTGTGCTTTATTATAGGACAGAAAACTGAAACAAAGACATCCATTGTGATTATACTGTACTGAATACCTCACATATAGGACGTTGATTTTTACAACACAGTCTCATGAAAGTAAACATGTCAGTCTTTGAATAATAATGACTGATTAATAATGTAATTTAAGCCACAAAATAAACGTCATTCCGTTAAATAAGTATAATGAACTACGCAAATGATTTCTAACGTATCCAGCATGTTTTATATTTACCGAAAAATCAAACATAGTTCACCCCTCAAGCACGTTATCACGTCTGTCAAAAACTTAGGCTGGCCGTTGGTTGGAGGAATAGCTATTAGAAATAAAAAACATCGATATAGCACACTCATGGGAATCAATTTTTTTTTAAAACAATTATTACCTTATGATCCATCGGTTTTCAAATCCACCTCGTTTGAATGACATCGTCGTCTGTCAAATAATAATGTGGACAATACACTACCGGATGTTTTGAATGTGAGGGTGCAGATGGCGGCCTGAGCGGCTTCAACATGCTGTCTGTCAGATAATAGGCTACATAACGCAAGTGAGTAAAATTTGTTCATCACTTGCTGAAATTGAATCGGAATGATCAGGGAACTGAGTGAAATACTTCACACTGCATGCTAAAGAGAATAAACAGTCCTATAGAAAAAAAACTTTGTCGGGTTAGTGAACATTAACGTGTTGGTTTTGACAGACATTATGCACGAACTATGCATTCTGATATTCCTGATTTGAATATTTTCAATAATTTTCTATTCTATTGACTAGTTATTTTTCATAATTTTGGTAATAGATTAACTGTTAAATGAGAGATCTTGAGATGAGTCCCTAGTCGTCCAATTTGACTCTCATATGCTGATGTAATATTATAAACTTGACAGGTGATTTTTGTAAAATAGTTTGATCACTATCTTCTCAGTTGTTTAAAAGATTAAGGCAATTATCAAAGTTTGATTAAATGTTGTTTAATTTTCCAATAAAACATTTTAACAGAATTGATTACATTTAATCACCCCCTTTCTGTCCCAAACCGATTCAACCCCTAGCCCTCCCCTATTGTTTTATTGCTGGTACAGGAAGCTAGGACAAAATATTCTCTCCTCCCTTAAAGACTATTAAGATTCATTTGGCATCCAACCATCAGCAGCCAGTCTTTCATCAGAAGCCAATTTACTGAGCAGCAACATTATACAAGGTTCAACCAGACATTTCAATGAGATTTACCATTGTGATGACTGGAAACGTCACAGGCCAAAGTATTCTTTTGCATGCCTTGGCATCAGCTCTAACTTTCAGGTTCATTCATCAGAAAGTCCTTCAACAAAACTTTCTTTGTGTTGTGTGTAATAGCTAAAAACAGAAAGACAGAAAGAGAGCAGGATAAATAGCTCTTGAATGCTTAAACTTCCTTATTGCATACACACACACTTCTTTTGTATCTCAAACATGACTGTCTACATAGTACATTCAAATTTCAACATATAAAAGTCAACATAAATATTCTACGCAACCAAATTTACTTCTTAACATTTTTCCAAGTGAAACAAAGATGTAGGGGTTGATTTCATCCATCGGAAATGGATTGTACCATGACAAGAGAGTGTGCACACATTAATGGAGTCAGGTGATTGAAGGGAAGAGAATAAAAAAGTGAAAGCAATTTGTGAAAAAGGAAGTAGTGTCAGAGGAGAAAAAAACAAAATCAACGAAGACAAACGAATACTGTGCAACAGTGAATCATGCATTTTTCTGTTGACATAATTTAGAGGGAAAAATAATAATTGTTGGCTTTATTCAGTAAAAAGTTGAATCCAGGTTTCAGTAATATATATATACAAATCTGTTGAGAAATATAATACCGGTAGATGCATCTCCACCGCAGTGAGTCATAGAGGAAGAGGTGTCTTTGTGTGGAGAGCCTTTTTAGCTGCTGGTATTGGTGAACTACTTCCCTGTGAAAAGTCATTTAATGCATTGGAGTACAGGAGAATATTGCTGAATGGCCTAGTTCCCATAAATGAACAATTTGTTATCTAATGAGGAATGATTATATGTTATTTTTCAACAAGACAATTCTCCATGCCCAAACTGCAAAGAAGACAACCAAAACATGGCTTGAGAACAAGCAAGCCCATCAGGTTCATGTTTTGGCCTGGTCAGAGTCCAGATTTGAACCCTATAGTGAATATTTGGTCTCACATTAAACTCAACTGGGAGACATTTTTCAAGGCTACTCATGAACTGTTCATCCTGTAAAAAGCTGTCTGCAAGTTGGGGAAGTGCTAAGTTACTTTATCTACAGTTTTTGTGCAATTCTCCCTAATTTCTTGACCAGTAATTTGTGATTAAAATGGTTGAGACCATTAAAAGACCACTACATATTTTGCCATGTTTGGCTTGGCTCGTTGTTATTGTTGTTGTTTTTTACCCGGGAGTGTGTGTGTGTGTTTGTGATATTTGTTTATATTGTGTAGAATGCCTCTGATATGTCCAATGAGAATCTTAGAATTGTGGATGTACATTGGCCACAAGGGGGCAGGCTTCCCTCTACACTGTTGATCTGTCAAGTTATCTGGTTCTAATTCCTAACTTATTAAGAAACATATTGTAAACAAAGTTTAAAGGCTAATGCATTGTTGCAGATGTTATACCCTCATGTTTAGCTATTATATTAATAGTACTGTTTTATTGCGCACATCATTCTTTATTACCTTGGGATCAGCTCAAGAAATCAAAGCACTAAAGTGCCAGCTTAGCCAAAAAAAACCCCAAAAAACCCTGATTCTGAGCACATAAAAACCTAGGAGCAGCGAACAAGAACAGCTCTCATATCGAATCAAAAACTGGGGAAAGGAAGAGATATGTTGCAGTATGACAGATTTTAGTGAAGATTTACCTGAACATGTGCAGTTCCAATTAGGAAGAGTTTGTACATCTTGACAAAAATCAAGTGTGAGTTTCTTTTAGTAACAGTTATAGTGTGTACCATATGTGAGATTGCATGCCTGATCACACCACATGTGCACATAGGCCCTTGACAGAAAAATCTTAGTTGTGATAAATAATAATCTGACAAATCGACTGTAAAAATGACAAAAATCCACCATAATAGGGTGTGTGTGTTTGTCTGTACACGTTTAATAAATGATCACTGTCTTACGTGGCTTCTTCAAACAAAAAAAGCAACTGTGGCACTTCATCAAACAACTCTACAGGACTGGTTCCACCAGAATACTGTGATTTCCCAGAAATCATAAAGCACCCTTTCCATGACGGAAATCAATCACCACCTATTCTTTTATTACGACTGAACGACAACTAGTTTGGATTCCTTTACCTAAATTATGGTCATTTAACCAGGCAGGTTAAAGCTACCAAGCCAACAGCAATTAAATGAAACGATAAACAGAATGTGCAAACACGCAAACACTTGGAATTAACTGGAATATTTTGTGGTACATTGCTAGCGTTTTCATATGACAAGCAGGATTGCTTTAGGCTGTGTGTTTCTGTTGGAGTGATTTTATCTTGTCAATGGTTGGAGAGACACCTCAGGGTTTTCCCAGAGTAGAGAATGTACGCCATGTCATTTGCATAAACATCACATAATATTTGTCTATATAAATAAACTTCCAGCTATATTTACAGACAAGGTGATTGACTCTAATATATTAAACATATCTGATCGGTCTTACCCAAACCTTGTCAAAGGGTTCGAACATATCTACGATTAACGTATCTTCAAAGAATGTGGGTAACCAAACAAACACAGGAACGAAAATACAACTAACCAAAACATGATCACATTTCTGATACCCATTGACTTCCATAGTATTTTTTTTTTTTTTTTTTTAAGTCAATGGGGACCAACAACTTTATGGTTACCAACATTCTACAAAATATTCTTAATACATCTTCTTTTGTTTTCAATAGAACAAAGTAACAGATTTGAACCAACTTGAGGGTGAGTAAATGATGACAGAATCTTAATTTTGGGTGAACATTTCCTGTAAATTGACATTGCGAAATATCAGTGGATCCGTGTGCTTGGTTTTCATGTACTTTGCTCTTGGACTTAAAAGTCTGTTTTTCCTATATTTTCTAGAAAGTCTCAATTAATCTTTCTAATTTTTGCTCGCTTCTGATAGATAATTTTCGAACAACTCGAAGAACATTCTAAGAGCATTTAGAACTGATAAAATGTATTATCTATGACAAAATCTTTTTTTTTCATGTAGGAGATTTCAACCCTGAGAATGTTTTGATTTGACCCAGATGAGTCATGTTGAGAACAAATCTGCATTCTTTAAAAACCAATAAGATGCCCCCTTTCAATAAGGTTACCTGATGCCCTCTGGTGGTTAGTACAGTATTATGGATGTACTTAATCTACTT